TGCATAATTTTTTTCATTTCTCAATATCAATATTTTTTAATTTACGAATTAATTTGAAATTGATATCATTAAATTTTTATAATGAAATTGTTTTTATAACGAATTTGTTATTTATCTTAATCCTTAATTTTCAGAAATATATCATTTGGATGTGGATTATCAAGTAATTTCTAATAATCTCTTAGCGTCCGCTTTTACATATCATGAACTAGAAAAGGTAGCTTCGACTTTCGATGTAGATATCGGTGGTTTACTACTATTAGAAGCAACAAATTTGAATGATGCCGTTCTGATTGGCTCCAAGAGAACACTATACTTTTCTACAGAAACTGGTAAGTCGATGATCAAAGAATTCATTTCAAAAATTTATTTTGAAATTTATTTATAAGATTGACTCAGTTTTGTCTATTTAATTTAAAATTGTATTAGACTCAATGAATTAATATATGTAATTGGTCAATGAATTAATATATGTGATTAGTGTGCATGAACGGAATAATTCACGGCATGCGCATTTAAAAGTTGAGGCTAATTGATTTACTAACTAATTTAGTATGATGTAGTATTAAACTTTATTTAATAATCTCTATTCTTTTAAATCATGAAGAAAGAAATATTTCAGAACTTTATTCTTAGCACTAGTTTTAATCAATGCTTGATCCAAAGAGTTGCATTCAGTCGTGAGAATTACAAAATCTAACGTTGTAAATCGGAAGATTTTGTCATTAAAGAAAAATTTGTCAAAAAAGAATAAAAATTAGATAATTAATTTTAAAACATATTTGTATATGCATATTCACAATGTTTATATTGTAAGAAGACGTCGAGCGAAAAGTAAATGTGGTCGCCGTATGATGGCGCCAGTTTTCGGCTGCCGATTCTACCAAGTGTCCGCACGCTGCGCGCACAAGTATGTAAATAAATTCGCCAAAATTAGCGCTCCTGAGTTGGAAATAAAGTCGATTCCGGAGTGTAGGCATATTTTCGGTATTGACATCGATTCTACGAGAAATATCATGTTATGATCAGAAGTATCGTGATATTTCAAGGGAATAACGATTGACTTGTCATGTCGTGAATGACTCGGAATGTACACAATAATTATCCGCATACCTCTGCGAGCGGGATATCCATATAAGCACACGAAATTCGCGAGCGGACGCTCTCTCACGGTCAGTCTTCGCCTAAGCTATCCGTATCGAGAATCGAAGAAAACGACCAGTAGCAGTGATAGTTACGTAAGAATAAATTATAGTAATAAAAGATAAAATATCACGCTTATACCTTGTGAATTCTCCTCCTTGGACAATATACTAATCAGAAAGATAAACATATATATACACTTACCTATAATTTTTCCCTACAGGAATAATCTAGATCTTTCGATCTGCCGCTCCGATTTCCGACGAAGTCGGAATAACGGAATTCTCTTTCGGGAAGGCACACGCGACAGACGCCTGTTGCCGGAAATCGCTCCGGAAATCTATTTAGTCTTGTTAAATATTAATTAATTAGTTCGGATTCGGTTAACAATTAGTACAGTGTAAAAAACTACGCCAAATCACGCATTCTATTTTGTGAATTCTCGCATCGTTCGACCGTTACTCCGAGTGCGCTTGATTTCAAATATGACCGTTACACGTGATATCTCGTACGTGCGTTAAAACTGGAACATGGTGTAACCGTTTTGATTGTAACGCTCGCGAACTAAATATACAATTTGTTTTAAAATATAGTTATTCATCTAGACATTTTATTTAAATCTTGTCTATCTCTCTCTTCATTATCCGTTCTTTCGTGCTGCCTTACAATATCTTAAATGTTAACATGCGTGATAAAGAAATAGCGTAATAATATGCCAATAGTTCCCAACTTCAACTATTTGAAAAAACATTTAATATTTTTCAACATATGGAAATGAAAAAAGTGATAATAAGTTATTTGTTAAAATAAGAAGTAATTCGTAGTATTTACAAAAAGAACATCAGAGATTATTTTCTCAGATTTCACTTGCTTGAAATTCATTGTAATGCACTGTAATGCATGTAATGCATATAATACACTTCACTTATCACTACACCCTCATGGTTGCAATTTTCAAGCATTCTCGAGAAGATTGAGTTTAAAATTTACATTTGTGATATATATATACTGCGAGTTTGCGATATTTTTAAACGGTAGAATAAGGGTCCCATGAGCGTATTGTGCGTATTACGGATCGTGCATATCGAAAATCTGACCAATCGCGAACTGTAGGAATGATGCTCTCGCGTACCGAAAATAGCAGAAAGTTCGCGATTGACCAGATTTTCGATACGCGCGATCCGCGATACGCACTATACGCTCCATGGGACTGCACCCTAAGATACATGAAATGCTTGGTTACTATAATACGTATGATGTGGCTACGGGTTAGAATTATATTTTTTGACATTCTTTTCAATATGAATAAACAGAATATTGCAACATATTACGGATAAATAAATAAGTGATTATTTATTTCTATACATATATACATTATTACATATATACATTATACGTTTTTTTATATACATATATATATATATATATATATATATATATATATAT